AAGCATGCATACTTGTATGGCACTAGTACGCTCCCTTTTAGGGCTATAGTTGCACCTTTGAGGTTACTGCCCCAGTAAAGCGCTAAAATACAATTATAGTATATTTTATTTCTGACAGTGTAAACAAAAAAAGGACTATGAAATGTTAAAAACATGGCTTTAAAATCTAATATTAAGTGAGTATAATTACTGATTATATTCTTTTAATAATTTAAAAGATCAGTTTAGTTTATCGGTACCGATATCGACGATACTGGACTTGAAAATATCGGCATCGGATTGAAAATAAAATAAGAGGTATCGCCCATCCCTAGTTCTCATCACCGCATCCAGTGTCATTCTTGAACCTTCCACGAGGCCCACGACGGGTTCCCATCACACACAGGTTCAAACCTCACCTTCTTTCAACACAATGGTCTGTCTTGTGCTTCCCCCAATGGAAAAGACTCGGTCTTGGGTAGTTGACAAATATGCAGTAAAAATGCTTTTTTGTTTGTTTTTTTGTCAAATCACCATTTCTAAAGAAAACTACATATATTTATGTGGTGCCAAGTCTGATGTTTGAGAAAATATAAGGGGTTACAAAATTTGTCAATTCTTTCACAGTTTTTTTAATTATTATTTTTTAGATATTTACTGAAATGCACCGTAAATGTGTCCTAATGGTGTGACATAGCAAAAATTAAGAAGAAGATGAAAAAAAACACTTAATAATATACAAATAGCATGAGAGATATTTGTCTTCATTGTTAGAGACTTATAGTTTCATGTAGTGTTATTTATTTAAAATGAAATAATGAATTACATTATTTTTTCCCCATGACTTGTGGGACATTTTCAAGACAAACTTTGCTGTCATCCTCTCAAAATTGCTGACAATTATACCATTATAAGATGAGTGATTATCTCCCCTATTGCAATACTCGACTGTTCTTTAGGATATTTTCAGATAAAAAATGCTGGTTCTTTTATACGTCACACTAAAGGACAGAAATGGTAGTTATTGCTTTAAAGAGAAGTATTACATTAAAGTATTGTTATTTAACTTTAAACTTTTTCTTCTCTGACATATTCATTTTTGATACAAACGATATCAACATGTTTTTTTAAACAAAACAAAAACAAAAAAAATCATCAGCAAGTTGATATTGAGTCTGGCGGTTGCAAGTTAGACTCCTAAAAACCCCTTTGCTCATGTGCAAACAAGTGCGCGCAACCACGGGTGAATTCATTTTCCACTCAAGTCGAGTCTGGGGTGTGCGATATACAGTATAACTTCTGCGATAATACGGTAAGTGTTGTTGTAATGATGTGCGATCTGAAATTATCAAGTAGGTTATATCACCAAATCACACACAGAGTGCACGCACATTGATTTATTAGTCTATTAAAACTCAAAATTCCAGGCATTCTAAATTGTAGATGGCAAAAAATGCTTCTGTATGCTTTTTATATTTATATAATTTAATATAGTAAACTTGATCTATACCACACAAAGAGTACAGTTTTTCTGCAGATATCAGCATGAACATATTTAATAATAATTTTATACAAGTTCAGTAAAGCAATAAGTGACTTACATTTTAGACATAATATTGCTTGTTTTTGCTCAATTTTGCTAAC